AATGATAATAAAAGAGCGAGAGACGACGAGAGGAGAAGACAAATCAGTAGAGTGTGGTGATGGATGATCAGTAAAACTAAACGAGAAAAAGCAAAACAGAAAGTGTAATAACATAACGTAGAGAAAAATCCAACGCAACCGATACTAAATTACCTTCGTAGCTTCTAAAGCCAAATGCTAAACATATAGAAAGAAAAGAATAACAGATCTAGAAAATATCATATTCCAGTTTCCATTTTATCTAAACAGCCTCAACAGACGACTTCTTCTAGCAGGATCGTCGGAACGGTCCTTCGTAGTCTAGTCTTTGACGACAAAAGACCTCGTATATTTCACAATCTCAAGGGCTTATTTGACTCATTTAGATTTGGTGCAGTTTCTACAAAACGATACCTATGGGTAAAGAACTACTTGTATCGGGCCCAGATGAACTGTCAATTTTAATTAAAAATACTCGTACACTCAACTACGATGAATTAAGGTCAGGTCATATAGAATTACCCACGCGCCTCCTTCAAAATGCGTCGGAAAAACTGGGATAGAACTATAACATTATCATCATTAAGTCAACAAACACGGATGTTCTACTACTGGCGACCTCAGTAATGAATACTATTAATCCAACATGAGTAGATGTTAGTCCAAGTAATTCGAAGAATGAAGCAAAAGCACTAGACGTCGCTGAAACATATCGAGAGTTTTTCATCAGATATATGGTGCCGAATGAAATATTATTAACTCTACACGCCTTATCAGGAACCAAGTTAACATCACACATACGTGGTATCAGCAAAAAAACAATCTTCGATACATTTTTAAGTAATACAGAAAAATTCGAAAAACTACAAGAGTTCGGCAGATTTTCTTTAACAGATGACGCAGCAGATGCGGCAGAACGGCTATAGCTGAATGCGGCAAAAAGTACGCAAGGAACCCTCGATAATGCCCGTGTAAAAACCGCAGTAAGTTATATGAAAAAGGGAGACTTAAGCGATTTATTATTAAAGTTGTTGCCTACATCGAATGCCTGGTTACAACATTACCAACGAGCTAATGCAATGATCAATATTTGGGGCAATGCATTAGACGTATTTAACCCCTCAATTACAAAATAACGGATTCATTCTACAATATGAAAGTTTACAAGTATAGTGGACATCGACTCATCGACATGGCCGCAAAACATAGTGGGATTACAAGTGTATGTATGCGAAAAGGGAGATTGTTCGCGTTGTTAATGTCAAAAACAAAAATTAAACTGTATCATATGAGAAAAAACAACTTCTGAGACGCGTGTTTTTATTTGATTTCCTTTTACCCATATAGTCTAGGCTATATGCTCTGGTGATCGTGAAAGTTTGATTAAACCCTTTTTTGTTTGAACTTTTTCGACTCTTTATAGCGAAATTCATTCTTATGGCCTATAGCAACGCTCTCATTGGCGCCATAAAAACCAATGGTTACACTATGCAAGACGTAGTGTATCATATGTAACAAAATTTAGCGAAACTACACTATTTCTTGAGCTGAAAATATTAGAATTAAATTCAGCATGTTCCAGCGCGTAGAATAAGCGCAAAACAGATCAAAGAAGCCGCTTTCTGCACTAATTAAACTTAAGTGCGCGTAGATCATAGAAAAGGCGCCTAGCATGAAAAACAATCATACTAATTAGCTAGCTGATTTTCTTTATGGAACGACTAATTCGAGATACGCGCATATCTCAGAGAATCCAAGAACGTATTTCAAGAAAGTTACGCATTGTATCTCCCGCGTTTTCCAATGGTTTAAAATTCGTTTTTTAAAGCCTGATTAAATCATGTTTTATTCGGATTTTTCTTCGAGAACATGATGTAATCAAGCTTCCCCATATAAAAATGTCTAGCAAACAAAAAGTTATTTTAGTGGAAAGCATGTCCGAAAAATGAAAAGTTTTGTTCTGCCACCCACTCGCCAAATAATAAATAAACCTCAAATTTAGTCTGAACATACAGTAATTTCGAATCATCACCTTTTTGCATGATGTTCCCGCAGAAAAAACCGGGTAAAACATCGTGCAATAAAGTCAATAATTTGATTCCTGCAGTTCTTCAAAAGTCTAAAGATCAAAAGCGACGAACTATAAACAAGTTCGTTAAAAAGTGTAGAGCAGACGATAAACATTCACTTCACGTTTTGGTATCTTTCTCAGACTTATTAAAATTTATTTGGAAGATTAAAATTTATTTTCTGTCAAGAAATCTTGCTTCTTGTACAAGGTTTGAGTTTGAGTCAAAGAACAGGAAAAATCATAAATTTCAGGAACAAACTCTCTCTCCGAAAAGCTTTTTCTCAAGGCAGTGGGGCACTAATTTCACCATGTTTTACCCGGATTTCTCTTCGGGAACATGATCCAATCAAGCTAGGCCATTCACCTCAGGTTCATGTAGTTGCTGAACTCAAAATGAGCGCACAGCAATTTTATTTCTACTACTTTATAGCATAAAGTTTATACACTCTCAATTGCTATGTACTACTATGAAGTTATTGTTCGACTATTCAAGTTTTCATATCACTTTTATATATGATGCGCATGTTCACTGAAAAAGAAAAATGCATTTTTCTCTTTTCATATCCAATGTCGTTTGTATGTATAGATATATATAAAGTCTATGTGACCTAAAAACTCTATTTAGGCTATACAACAAAATATAAAAGTATCAACGAAATATACACTTCATGCAAAAAAGACATTCACGTGTTTTTTTCTTTCTTTTCCCTCTATTTATACAATTTTATACAATTGATATAAGTTTCATTCTTTCAGAATACAACGGGAAACATTTCCCTTATAGCATTCGAAACTAAACCTATCGAAAAATGCACAAGTCATTTTCGAAAAACTCAGCCAGATTAAATTTCTGTTTAAACGAAAGATAAAGCGTCTTTGTCCAGGCTTCCTGATCAGGAGGAGCTAGCCCCTCCCTAAAAATATTTTTGGACTTTCCGGCAAAATTTTTGACGTTCTGATTTCACAGGAGGCTCCTGATTTTTGGAAGTGATTTTTAAGACTTTCTCCTGATTTTTAATTGTTTTCCTGCATTGATTTTGTTTTTCCAAAACTGAGATTATCAGTTTCAGAAACAGAATTTCTGGACAAGAGTCTAGATAATTGTACATTGAAAGAGTACGTGGTGTGCTTATTGAATGTTCTCATCACAAGAAGATGAGATTAGTGAACTTCTAAACCCATTGGATCAAAATCTTCTTTCTCAATCGGTACTGCAGTCTGTAGTAAATGATCATACTGTTTCATAAAAAAGTATTTGAAAAAAAAACTTTTTTTAAAATAACTACGTCGTTGAAAAAGTTATTGGACTTTTTTGTTTTGTTTGTTCAAGAAAAGACTGCTTGATACCCCTGTTTTTCTCCTGATTTCGAAAAAAAATCTCTTTTTTAGAAAAAGTCTCCTGATCAACTCCTGATCTTTTACGAAAAACTAGTGATTTCGAAAAACTGGATTTGGGCACCCTGATCACATGCCCTAATTTCGACATTAATCTTATTAGGTTGCGTATTTCGTGTTTTTCAAAGTTAGTTTCTAAAATTAAGTAAAGCTTTTGAGATATCGGCGTAACTGACTATCAGAACTACCGATCTATGTAAAAATATTTGAGTTGTCGCTTATACTAACTGAGGTACAAGGGTTAGAATGAACATACTCAAAAGACTATGGCAAATCGAACCATGTGTCTTTTTCTGAAAAGAGCACATGTTTTCATGGTCTTCTTCAATGAAGAATAAACTTATTTGTGTCGAAATTAAATTATATCTTTTTTATTTCCATACTCCATGTCTTTTTCTTTTTCTTTTCTAATTTCGACATTTGCATTCAAATACATGCCGTTTTGATAGCATTTTAGAAAAAAAGATGCTGACGCAATCTAAGAGTCATAATTGGAATGTCATGAATTGGAAAATGATTTTCAGCGCTCTTTCATTTATTCACTGCTGGCTACCATAGTCAGTACCAGGCTGATATTCAGCGTAGTCTCCTATGAGAAAACCAGTATTTGTGAGCTTTAAAAAGATGTTGATGCTGAAAATCAGAATTAGCTTATTTTTTTACGACAGTTAGGATTCTGATTTCACCATGTTTTACCCGGTTTTCTCTTCGGGAACATGATGCAATACATCTCAAAATTAGTTAGAATTTGAGATCAAAATAAGTACACGCAATTCTATCTACATCTCTCACCTCGCTCTCTGTGCACTTATTCTGAATAAGTTATCATTCAACTTATTCAAGTTAAAATAAGAAAAAGAATATATTTGGTTCACTACTGATATAAGCATATCGACTGTTGTGACGTTTAGTCTTTTTCTTCTTATGGTACGTGGCCAACCGACATAAAGCCGTGCAATTTCTTGATTTTATTTCTGAATGCATCTCCATTGTGAATCTCAGTTTTCTCCGTATAAAAGTTTTTTCAAAAAAGGCCACTGAACGTAGAAGAAGAATAATAAGATATTTAGAGTTATTGTAAAAAGAAAGTCCGATATATATAAAATCATGTGGATTCCTTACGGAAAACAAAAGATGGCGCTACATCGCGTGCTAGTAAAAGGAGTGTTGTCAAAGAAACGCAACGTCGAATGGTGAAATGGTTACAAACCCGCTGCTGTTATTTTTGTCCGGTCTTTCGAGATTGTTTTCTTAGGATTTTGTATTGTGACCTTTTGAAAAGTTACCATATGAAAATGTATTTCAAAACACAGTTTTCTTACAAAAAAAGGTAATAAAGATTGATTTTTTAAAAAGTTTACAAAAAATGTGTTCTTGAAATAGGCTACTAATAATACAAAAACAAAATCTTGGATCATTTCTTAAAAGGACAAAAATGTAACAGAAATAATAATCTTATGCTAATCAAAGGTTGTTTAGCTTGCGTACGTTTTCGAACAATATATTCTCATGAGTTCCAGAGCACAAATTTTAGTACCCTGACATTCTATTACTTTCAATCTTGATCTTCATTCCAGTTATTTGTCAAATCATCGAGCACATTGTAGTTTGAATATCTTCGAATGGGTTGCGATGTCGATGCTGATAAATAACTTCTTGTTACTTTTGATGAATTCTGTAATGGGAAAAAGGTTAGTTAGTGTCAGAGTAAACGTTCATGTTCGTGTTCTACCTTCGCATTGGTTGCTTCTGTATCGAATTTTCGATACTCGTTCTCATCGTTATAAGCATTCCTGGAAGTTTTCTTCAAGGTTGATTTTTCCACGGACATCATATGCTGCTGCTGCCACTACAAATACAAGAACAACAATGATCTGATGCGACCACGTAGAATATAATATAAGAACTTACATCTGTAGTTTCGCCTGATTCGTTAAACGAGAATTTCACTCTTTTTGACGAAGATCGGAATGTAGATGGAATACTTGGTTGTTTAAACGTTGGTTCTAATAAAGTTGTTCGAGAGTAATTTGGGCCTGATTCATCAAGATCAAAATAAGATAAAGCGTCTTCATCTTCGCTGCAATTTGTAGAATTCTCCTAGGTTAGAAAAGAAGGAAAAGAATAAATTTATTCTTAGTTTGTAAAATGTTTCTTGCCTCCTTATCGAATGAAAAATTAATTTCGTCATCATCGCTTAAAGATTCTTCACACATTCTATCTTCATTTTTATCACCTTCATCGCCGGAATTAAAAGAATAATCAACACCGCCATCATCATCATCTGATAGTAGGCTATTGATTACCGATGTTTCAGTAAACATTGTTGTAGCCTAAAATGCAAAGAAAAATAGGCAACATTGTAGAACTGAATAAATACAACCTTTACTTACGCAGTTTTTGGGCTGCTTCATCGCATGAGCACGATTTTCACATACTTGAGCTGAACATTGACAATAAATGGTACATGGTTGATAATTTTGTCCACAATTACATTTATGACAATTACCCTTGCATTTGCCACATGTTTTTAATCCAGGATCATTTGGAAATGGCAATTTTGATGTCCATTTAATTTCCAGACGATCATTAACGGTTTCAAAACCACAGTCGGTTAATTCCGGGTAATTGATATAATTATCCATTGCATTTTTCCAGATTTGTATTTGTCTACTTACACGTAGACAATGGTAGAGTAGCGCATCACTGGTGGGTGGTAATGTGGGTGCGATGGCCTTCTTCTTTTGTTTTAATGCATTCATCGCCATTATTGCTCGTAATGTGTCGACTGATAAAATTTGTTGTTGTATTACTTGAGACGATGATGATAGTGCTTGTGAAGATCGACGCCGGTTATGTAAACAATCGATTATTAACTTTTCGACGGTCTTAATATCATCTTTTGTTGTTGGTAATGCTTTTAATCGATCAAGGTCGTTGTATTGACCGTTATTATTGAATAATGTCTGAAGAAATGTTGTTTTACTAATGTTTCTGACGAATGAGCATGTGTCGCAACCAGAGAGCGTATATACATTCAATAATATTTGTGGCAAAATACGATATTTTTCAATTAATTCTTTTTGTATGGTTGTACAGTTGATGTATCGCTGTTTATCTGTTTGTGGCAACGAGTAATCCACAAATAACATAGATATTTTGATAAGAGACGCATAGTAAATACATAAGAAAACCACATCGGTATCAATCGATTTCACAACAATGCTATCATAATCATTATTACCCATCATTTGATTTATATGCAACATCATCCTCGTATCAGCTTCGACTTGATTACTTTCTAACTCAATCAAGTAAGATGCCGGTGAATTCTTTTTTAGCGTTATTGCATTTTTATCCGGACCACCAACTACCAGACTTTTGTTGTCTGGTAAACATTCTACAAGAGTTTGTTCAGACCAACATTTAACAATTGCAGCTGCTAAATTTGCACGATTACTAAAATAGAGAAAAGGTTTCATCATAAGTTCAGTTTCATAAGCATTGAAGAAAAACTTATACCATAAAAACCAGATTGAAAATGGAAGTTTATATTAACATACCCTCCTCGTAACAGATCATCATACATCTTTCCTGTTGGTAATTTACTATCTCTAGTAAAATCATATTTAATTTTATGTATATCATTACCATGTCGATTTGTAAACATTTTCATATCACCGCTAAGATTTGAATCGAAAACAATGTCTACACGGTCGAAACATAGAAAATAATCAAAGACTTTTCTTTTTAATAAACATGATGCATAATCGTAGACTGTACTGTTGCGGACAGGTCTTGTTTGTAATAAACTACCACCGTCGATAATAATAGCTGAATTATTATTTGATGTTGAACACATGTTTATAGATTTTATTGGGTGTTTATCACTAAAACTTGTTGAAAATTTTTCTTCGAGAAATTTTAATGCAATTGATTTACTTTGCTGATTCATCAGCAATGGATTGTTGCTATCACACAATGAAATTGGAAATTTTGCAAATTCATAACTAAATATTGATGATAAATTTAGTTGTCGATATTCGCCTAACAGAAGAGCTCTTCTCATTTGGTCATCAATATTTTTAATGTTATTAGTATTTTTTCGTATTTGCTTGACTTTTTTGGTGCTTGGCTCATAGAAATCATTGTCACGTAATCTTAAGATTGAGACTGCTCTTAATGGTTCTGCAATTGATACTGTTTTATTTACTAAACGTTCATTCACATACTTGTATAATGAATCCAAACCAAGCTGTTTATAAGAACATATATTAGTAACAATATCATCATGTATTAATTTTCCAGATAATAATTGTGTAACATGATCGTTTTCACATGAATATAGCTTTTCATAGTTTAATTTTGATAATATCAACATTAAGTCTTCTTCATCCAATTTTAATCTTGTTGGCGTACATTCAATATGCGCATCAACACTATTAGTATTGTTTTCATAACCAGCTATTTCGTTGCTAATTGTTGATAACAATGTTCTGAACGTAAATGTTTTCGACCATATATCAACTAATTCGGGTCGAAAACGGCCTGATATACCACCATGACCCTTTCCCATTTTGTTAATAGTACATTCAATTGTTTGATCCATGGCTATTGTGGAAAATGGTCTTGTTGTCCTTCTTACAGCAAAACATTTTGATAAAATCTCAAATAAAGATTTTGAACATGTTTGTAAATCGAGCAGATGTTGTGCTGACAGACGAGCATAATTTCGATGAATTGTAGCGAAAAACATTGGTGCTATATTATTAAATGCAGCATTTCTTGCATCAAAATTGGATGTCTACAACAGAGAAAGAACTTTAGGTATAAGAGGAAGGAGGGAGATAGAATGTTTTGCTTTGTATGGCTATTTTTATTCGAAAAGGGTGCTGACAAGCCTCTGACAGATTTCGTAGTTTCGAATAGTCCGATGTCTTCCTTACAGGTGACGACCTTTGGAGACTGTCATCCGTCTCCTTCCTACTAATCGCTTATCACAATTCTAGACAAAAGGCTAGCTTGACGTATAGTTTTGTCTTCTCAAATGCTTGAGCAAAAGAATAACTTACTCTGACTGCCATGTATAAACTGATCAATGGTTCAATTACTTCACATAAAATAAAAGTCCAAAATTTGAATTTTATATTTTGTTTACATTTTTCATTTTTCCAACTGTCAAATAGACGTCGACATTCTACACCATCAATGCACTGAATTAGATTTTGAAACCAATCTTGTTTTTTATTATTATTGGAATAATCATTGGGTATTTCGCACATAATTTTTTGAAATTCAGTCATTATTAACGGCGATAATGTATTGATAAATTCTTGTGTTATTAACATGGACAATGCTGTATAAATCAGTTTAAGAGCTCTCAAAGATTTGTTAAAATGCGACACATTTAAAATAGCTCGTAATGTTGCACCTTTATATATATAAGTTAACAGATCTTCGATACCAGATTGTCTCATAACATCCCAAATAACATTCATATAACATTTCATTAAATGAAAATCTCCTGGATATATTGTTATTTTTTGAAAATCAATGGGATGATCATATTTTGCCTAGAATACAGGATAGTGTGATTCGAAAATGTATCAATTTAGAAGGAAATAAGTTATACCTGTAAACAATTTCTATATATTTTTTCATCGACAACAATAACGGCTTCTGACTGGAAATAAGAATCAATAAACATTTTTTTTGTGCTTCTAAGGCATAATTCTGCACATTCCAGTTTATTTGGATCCTCATCGATTGGACTACAAAATGTAATTTTATGAATGGGTTTTAGTGGAAACACTAAATGTATCGCAAAAAAACCAGCTAATAACGGCACATGCACATGTTCTTCTCCAAATATTAATTTTGTTCTATTTTCTCCCTTGGAAAACCACATTTTTGTAAGATTATATGCTAACAAATATAATTCAAATGATTTATCGATAAATGCTACATGATTAATATGTGTGATTTGTGGTACTGATGATATTGATTCTACGTTTGTATATGTTATCTGTTCTGATAGTGCATATGTATGATCCTCATGCGGACTTCGCGGCATGAGACATTCTACTGATGGACATTCATTGACGTTAGATGTTGATAACGATGGAAAAGAAGTTATTGTTAATTGATGTTGATTTTCCGGATTTTGTATTATAATCTGATTCAAGATATGCATACTATTTTCTCCGTGAATTGTCTCTTTATTTAAATCGAAATTATCAGCCACTTTAACGGCAAAACAGTTTGGTTGAACTGTCTTTGGTAACGTCGTTGATGATGGCTGTTTACTAGCGATTCGTTCGTGTAACCGAATTAAACTTTTGTATGAACATGTGTGCCCAAATCTGTTTAATATTGTTAATAACTGCAACGAACGTTCATGTCGAAATACTTCATTTCCTAACAAGTAATGTTTTGGTGTAATATAACGTTCGTTTTTACAACTGATAATATCATATCCAATCGACGCTACCTTCAACCATTTTCTTGATTGTCGAAATAAATCTTCATCTAACATATTATGATATTTATAATTACATTTCATAGTATTAAAATTTCGATCATTAATTGTTAGAAATCCAATAAAATTACGTAATAATAATGGTACACAATCATTATATAAGTTCGTGGTAAATTCAGCTAGTTTTTCTTGATCCACATGTAATTTCTTTAATAGATAATAATTTTCTTTTATATTTGCACGTAATAATTCAATAGCATCAAGTAATGTTTCACATGTTG